ATATTATTACATGTTTTCAAAAATTAAACCACCAAACGCAGTTTCAGTTTTTTTTAAAACTGAAATCAATCTCTAAATAAAACTACCAAACGCATTTTTAGAAATAATTCAAAAATGAAACTAAAAACGTTTTCATTTTCATTTTCGTACAGAAAATAAAAACGTTTTGGAACCAATTCCAAACGCACCCATTGTTTTCAATAAACGACATAGAATGTTGCAGATAAATTTTAGTAGGATTTCTTCCTCAAACGACAGAAAACTTAACATGAAAAAGCGCTATGTCGTTTCTTCTACCAACTTGTCATTTAAAAACGACACACCTCAGCTGTTCTAAAATGAAAGTTTACATGTCGTTTTTACATAAACGACAGCCAATAATGAAGGTGCTATGTCGTTTCAATGAAACACAATTCGAACTTTGAAAATTCAAAAAAAAAAAAAAATGAAAGCCTCATTCATTTCACCATTCAAGTTTTCAGTTTTAGATTTTTACAGTAAAAATATTTTAAAAAATATCACATTTAATTTTTTTTACTATAATAAAAAATTTTTATAAAATATTACATTTTAACTTAAATTAAAAATTCAAATTAGTAAAGTAAACGAGACAGAAAGAAAACGACATATGGCTTCATTTTTCATCCAAAAATACTGTTTCTAAATTTCTTTTTTTTTTTTAACTTTAGAAAAAGGGGGAAAAAATGACCCTTTTATTTTCCTTGCGCACAAAGCCCAACACATCCAGAGTGAGTGCCGGGGCGATCTTCTTCTCCGCTGGACTGCGAAAGCCACGACCTCTGCAGATTCTTGAATTGTTCAATCCTCTCTCCGTCTCTCATTGTTTCTTAATCGACGCAATGGTTTATATAACTTCCTGGGATGAGTTCGTCGAGCGATCCGTACAATTGTTCCGTGCCGATCCCGAATCTGTGCGTTATTTTTCCTCTACTCTTTCCTCCTTTTTTGCCCTAATTATTTTTCTTCTTGATAGCCTAGAAATTGTTGGATTATTATTCCCTAATATACTATCCAATAAGCGTACATTCTTGATTCTTCTCCCCAATTTTTTTTTCCTACGTTCAATTTCAAGTCGATTATGGTTTCGAATAAGCATTGCAAGGTGTTAATTCAGAAACCCTGAATTATTGATTTGATGGTTCAAATGCATGTAAAAAGTCCCAAAAGTCGCAGTTGATTTCATCTTGTATGTACTTTTTTTTTCTCACAATTATATCTTTGCTTGTTTCTGGCTTATGATTTTTTCCCCCACCTTTGATAGTTGACTAATTCATGTCGTTTTTCATATTTTTATGGATAATGTGCATATGTAGACACGATATTTGATGAAGTACAGACATTGTGACGGTAAACTTGTTCTCAAGGTCACCGATAATAGAGAGGTAATGAGTATTTTTCTTATTGTGGTTTAAAATTTCAGTCATTGTTATCAGTGATTGATCTTGGTACATAAAATAGATTGTAATATTTCAATTATCTTCACCGGGTTTCATGTCAGTGATTTATATTTATATTTATGTTGTTGGACGATTAAGAAGGCAGGTTTTAGTTTTACCTTTCTCATTGTACTTTAGTAACTTCAGTTGTTCATGTAGCCACGTTCGATTGTCCGTAATCTCGATCAATTTTATGTTGTGTTTGTCGTCATAAGGCTTGCATATTGTTTGGTGATAGATTCTCATAGGCAAAAGTTCAAGCCGGTATTTTCTTTTTCCTCTTTAGAAGTTCCTCTGATATCCATCATGATTTGATTTGTGAAGAGATCTGGTACTTGTGCCTATTGTCTCGATTTAGATGCCATCTCAATTACAGAAGTGTCCTGCAATTTTCCTGTGTGAAACATATATTTGTCGGAAAAATACAATTTCTACTTGTACTAATATGAGATATGTGAGCTTTTTTATGGTTGCTTTCTCTTCGTATCTCTTTCATTTTAGGAATTGTCTTGGATCTCTAAAGTTTTAATTTTTGAAAGAGGATGAACTGTATCAATATGCCCCACTAGTTATAGTTCTGGTCCTTCTGGAAGAATTATTTACGCTTGAGTTGTGCCAGTAGGAATTTTTCTCCAATCTGAATATAAGAATACCAGTGATCGGAAATGGATCAGAAAGTGACAGTTTCTATTTCTATCTCAAATGATGATTGACAATTTTTACTGCTATGTTGTACAGTAACGTTTGACATTTCTCTTACTGTCCTTTCATTTCTTCATGGTGGATCAAATTTAAATCGAGGTCAGGCAACGGTGGCAGGGAGTTTAGGCATGTTAGAAACTGCTCTGATGAACTCAGGTCCATACTCTAGTGAAAAAAGGAAATTAGGCTTCTTATTGTATCCTTTTTCGTGCTTAGCCCTTCTTTGGCATCCTTCCCTATGAATCTCTCAATCTCGGGAATTCCTGCCGATTGGTTAGTCCATCGCATTTTCTTCTTTCCTTTCTTATTCATTCTTGTTAGGAAGGAGCAAGCCTTTTAGACACAGGAAGGGCTAGCTGAAAAAGTCAAGCCTGCAGAGCAGTCACAAAGAATAGGATGTATTCACTGGAACACGAGTTACCTTCATCTCCTCGTGGCCTATACTGCTTGTGCTTTATGCATTTGTTAACAATGTAACGCCATATCACCTTTGTGTATATTGAGACACAGGGTTTAAGTTATTAAAATGCAACAAGCACGTACCTTCTTCTGGAAATATGAAACTGAGATTCAGACACCATTAATAATTTTAAAAAATAAATAAATAAATTGGCGTATACATTGATGTTTGTCGTTCTCATGATTTAGGTTTTACCTTTCTTGGCCCAAAAAAAAAAGAAGAGTAATCTATATTTAGGTGTGGTCAAATTGTATAGCCTGTCGTATGAGGAACATAAGTTTATCATTCTATATTATTATAGAATCACTCAGCTAGTTATGCTTATGTATTTTTCAGTGTCTGAAGTTTAAGACAGACCAAGCACAAGAGGCGAAAAAGATGGAAAAGTTCAATAACATATTTTTCACTTTGATGGCTCGAGGTCCTGAAGGTATAGTATAATCTTTCGCTAAATTTTAGCTTTTTGTTTCTGTGGGAGTACAAATCTGATTATTGTCATGGATTGCAGTAGGACATAAATCGGAGTGATTTCATGATATTTAAATACTAGTCTGACATTTGATGAAATGAGCTGTTTTAGTAGTACTTTGAATTCTGTAGGTTCTACTATGTACAGCCTTATGGGAACTTACTAGCAGATTTTGATGTTAATCTACATGAAAGGAACACTACCTGCGCGGTTCTTTCTCAAATTGAACATGCATGTAGAATTTTAGGATATTAGGGAATAGGATAGATTGGAGTTTGGTTAGTGCTTCTTTAGCTATACTGGAACCGAAGTAGCTTTATTAGAAGTTTTTTATGGCGCCCTGGTGTAAATATATCTTCGAATTTGAAGTGTATTTTGTCCTACTTGGTGCATCTAGAAACTAACCGTCCTTTTTCTCTCTTGTTGTACAGCGGATATATCCGAAGTTACCGGCAAGGAGCAGACGGATGCACAGCCAATCAAGAAAGGAAGGGGAAGGAAACAATAACTTTGTTGGCCAATTAGTATAGTCCTTTGACAAATCTTGTTGACTCGTGGATCACTTTGAAACAAATTTTGCCAATCATCTTTGCAATGTCTTTTAGCGAGTCCACGAGTGTTTTCAAATTCTTCAAGTGGACTCGAAAAGCTATTCATTTGCAATTTTTGGTCTTGGTTCACTTGAAATCCTCAAGTATTACTCTCTTTACTCGCATGAATTGGTTTATATTTGTGTTTTCTCAAAACTAATGAATCCTTGCAAGTTTGGTGCTCTGGCTTTTATTACTAGCCTAATAGGGTGAAGTAAAAGAATACCACTCTTAGGAAGTTGGTATTTGAATGCAATACTTCTGTGGAAATTTTTAAACCTAATTTTCACATAAAATTTAGTATGAGTGAATAATTAGACTTTATAAGTGGTACTGGTGTTGATGAACAATATCCTTAAAACAAGGTGTATGGCTCCAGAGAGAGTATATTGGACGCGTTTGGAACTCGTTTCAAAATGATTTTGTTTTTTGTATGAAAATAAAAATGAAAACGTTTTCAATTTCATTTTTAAAAATGCGTTTGGTAATTTTATCAAGATATTATTTTCAGTATAAAAAATTCATTAATGTCTTTCTCTCTTTCTCTCTGCTCGAGAGGAGAAAACGAAAATAAAAAATAAAAAACGATTAAAAGTCGTTTTTCATTTTACACTAAATCAAAAAATCGTTTTCATTTCTGTTTTTTGTCTTTATTGCGCCAAACGTCATTTTGGAGATATTTTCATTTTTTTTTCTTAAAAAACGCAAAAAATAAAAATGGAATCAATACTAAATAGGACCATCAACACTTTGACAATGAAAATGAGTGAATTTTTGCAATATTCACAGGTAGTGTTAAGAGTGTCCGTGAAGCTCTGGAACAAATTTCAAAGGGTCAATTTTGTTTGTACATACTTGATAGCTTACTTTTGACACACTCAGCAATTGAAAGCAAAGAAAATCCAAAAAGGAACCATTTTGAAAATGAAAGTATGTATTCAATAATATCCAAGCCAGCCAGCCAGCCAGCAGCCAATGCAACACAATTGTTCTCAAGATAATATTTATTTATTTATTTATTTCCTTTCTTCTTCTGGATTTCGATAAAGGGTAGGGCACCGAACAAGACTAGAACATATACCGGCAGACTACATACCCATATGGTCATTCTTCTTAGTTTTAACCACAAAAACACTTTTGTAGAGATTGATACAAGTTAGAAACACTTGTATAGTTTTGGTGCGATGTCCCAACTTTTGGCTCCAAAGAATTCAGGGCAAAGGCCATAATTCATATGCACGAGCTCTGTGAAATTCAGAAGAGCCTGTCTTATTATTATTCCAAAGATAAGTGTTCCATCATGGTCGTACTGTCGCACCAGATCCCGAAGCACCCTCTCTTTACTTTACTTTCTTTTACTTTATTAGGGGGGGCATTAAAAGAGTAAAGTGTTTAGATCCATGTGCCATTAAAGATCGTGAGGTTCAACTTTTTTTTTTTTCCAAAATTTTCAGAGATAGATGCATGATTAGAAAACAAAGGCAAATGGGAAAATATTCTTCTCATCAATCAGATAAAGGCAGATTTGTCACTGGGACAGAATGTTTTTGTTGTATAAGAGGCTAAGGACAAAGCCGGTTGTTTTATTTATGAATAATAAGGTTTGTTACGAAGAGTGTGGGGCAGTCAGAGCTCTCTCTCTGCGAACACCCATTTGTTGGTATTAATAAGCACACAACATTTTTGATTCCCCGGTAGACTATTATCTTTCAACATTAAGCTAGAGATAATTAAACAAGTTGGTCTCGTTCATTTCACCGATTCGAGTTTTCAGTTTTAAGTTTTTACAGTAAAAAATTCTCAAAAAATGTCACATCTAACTTTTTCTGTTACAATAAAAAATTTTCAAAAAATGTCACATTTCAACTCAAATTAAAAACTTAAATCCGTAAAGTAAACGAGACTGTCTTTACTCTCCGGCAAGAAGAATGATGTGATAATTTTTTGGGAAATGAGAGTATTGCTTTTTCAAAAGGGGGCTTTTGGGTTTAGATTGGTCCTTATTATCATCTCAAATTGTCCTTTTATTTACGTAATTCCTTTTCTGAAAAAGTTAAAAAAAAAAAAAGAGGATAAATGTGTTTCGTGTTTACCAAATTCAGATGATAAAAAGAAAAAAAAAAGACAATGGGATTGCCAAATGTCATTTCCTAATTCTTTTTATATCAAAAAGAAACGGATTTGATTTGTTAACATCAGATATTGTTATTACACAAAAGCTCAGTGATTAGTAAAAGAATAAAGGAAATGCCCCATAAAGATTTATTCTTTTTGAGAGGGAATATAGGAGACGTTGGACGAGGGGGAAAAGATTTCCCGCTTTCATGCATGGCTGTACATTTTAGGATAAAGTTAAACACTTTAACTTCATGAAACCGAGTTGTTTCCCAAGCTTAAACGTTGTAAAGATGAGAATTGAGATCCTACATTTTTGCCAATTAAAATCCTTGCTTTAGGCTCCCATCTTTTTTTCTTTTTTTCCTTTCTTCTGTTGTTACTCATAATTGTGTTTTGATTCCTTACCTTTTCTTCTCCTCCTTTATGTATGAGAAACAGAAACTTAATGCCTTTGTCATGCTATAGTAGCATTAGTGACGAGCCCTTTAACGCTGTACAAATATTTTACCTTTTAGAGGGGTTTTTTTTTTTTTTCGAAAAGTGGAAGAATGTACAGGTGAGGGAGTAAAAGGATTTAGGTTGTGTTTAGTAGATGGATTCAGAATTATGATTTTAAATCCTAGTTTATAATCAGTGTTGATTTACAGTTATTTTGAATCATGATTCAGAATCAGTGTTTGATTTGGATGATTTTGAATCATGATTCAAAATCTGATGTGATGTTTTAGAGGACGTTTGGTTGGAGGATTCAAACCATGTGATTTGAACCATTTTTTATTTTCGTGAATTTTTTGTGAGAGAAAATACTGTAGCAAACCATGAATCATGATTCGAATCAGGGAATGAATCCCTCTACCAAACATCCACTTAAACCAGAATTACTCATGATTCTAAAACCACCCTCCTCTTGATTCAAGGTGATTCAAACCTCTGATTCTGAATCATGATTTCAGAATCATGATTTGAACGTAAAATCATAAATCATGGTTATGGTTCTAGAATCATAATTAGAATTACCCTGATTTAAATCATCGTACTAAACGAACCTTTAAAGATTGATAATTATTTGGCAGGAACGAAAAAAAAATAAGAGACTAAATTGGACGAGAGATTTCAAATCTCCCCAAAAAGATTATTAGAGTAGAAAATTTGCCGTCAAATAAAAAAGCATTTTAGGGTGGTTTGACCCGACCCATATAATTTTACGCTCAAAATCTCAACACAGTCCGAGTTCATGCCGAACCCAAGCCAACAGTAATGGGCTTAGGACCGGTAACCCAGCCCAAATTTACAATTTTAATCAATAACAACAATAATTCCCCAAAAATTTTTTTTTTTTTTTTTTTTTTTTTTTTTCAGGAGTTATGTTAATTCAATTATTTGGTTGTGTTTGCTCTAACTTCATGGGCCACCTATAGAGTAATATTTAGAATTTGACAAGCAGCGCACGGGTCATACAATGCTGACTCTGTTTAGCTCTACAAGAAACTTAAATTATCCATTTGTTCTTTATAAATTTATATGCCAACAGACAACATTAGGATTCTAATTCATTTCTCTTTCTTTTGTAACTATTCGATGTAAAATTAGCATCTAAAAAGTCATCAATCTTTCTTTATTTTTTCTTCACCCATCTCATCTTCTATTGCATTGACAATGACTTATCTGCTATCCTAAAATTAGGAAAATTATCTAACTACCTAATTATTGATTGCAAATTTTGTTTGCATCTAGACCCCCAAAAATCTAGAGAAAAAGCATGCTCAAGCTTTAAGTGGGTCCAATTAGAGAAAGAAATATGGCCCCATAAATTCTTATCGAATGTGATTGCATTCGTGCTCTTCCAAGTTCCAAATAATTTATCGGCCATACATAGTAAAATTTGAAGTATTGCTAGCAAGAAAATACCATTTCACCATGTCCAGGTAGTTTTTGGTTTTCCTTTTCAGAATTCTATGCTATGATTTAAAACAAAAAAAATCTTACAATTACAACATAATTCTTGCTATCCTAAAAATATGACATTCCAAATTATGCATTACCAAGTTTTATTGTACCGTACTATAAATGTCTATTTTTTCTTGATAAAAAATACTCAATTTTTTTTAAAATAATATATATATACATATTTTTGCCGTAAATTAATTGAAATATGATAGTCCAAATCATGCATCATTAACATAATACGTTTTTATACCATATACTATAAAATTCCATTTTTTTATTTAATGAAAATATTCACGAGACAAGACAGTTGATTCTCTCCCTCCTTTTTCTTTTTCATTTGAAATAGATTTATTATAACTAAAATATCAAGTTTGGAACTATATATACTTTTTTTTTTTTTAGTGAACTATACGAGTTAATCAATCACAAAATCATACTCTACTAGAGCTGTTAGCCTATAAACATAACCAAATTGTTACTACTTTTTTTTTTTTTTTTTTTTCTTGTGTTGATAGGATAAAACATGTGTACTTTAGTCTTGTGTTCTGTGTTTTGTTTTGTTTCGTTATTTTATTATTTTGGAATAGCGCGTTTCTAAAAGGGCGGTCATCATGCTAATTAACAACTTATATGGGTCATAATTGCATTATCCTCCCCTAGTAGTGGGACGATTTATTTTTCTAATTCGCCTGAGAAATTCCAAAGATAACCCCACTGATTATACAAAGGTGCGTTTTCATATGAGGCTATTTTGGTCATTGGACATTTATAAAACTGAAACACGCTCGCTCAAGTTTACTCTAATCCAAAAAATAATCACCACTCTAAAATTACAATCAATTCCTTCCTTCAATAAACATAATTAGGTATTAAAGTACCTGATTACGCCACTTTCGGAGTTGCGGGCAGAGAGAGAAGGAAGCCAAAGTCAACGGCATTGGGACCCACTGGGCCCCACACCCTGTCAGTCGCCGAACTAACAGTGCGCCACCCGGCGCTGGATAGCAAACGGGCAAAGTTTGGCAGTCAAACAATACGTTGGGGTACGTGTCAACCTTTAAGGAACAAATAGCCACGTGGCGTAAATTGATTAGTTCCTCAGGCAACGGCTATATAGGATGCTCTCGAGTACTGGTCTGAGCGCGTGGGCCCCACGAATGACGGATATTTTGATAAAGCCGCGCAGACACAAAGGGAAAAATTCTTCAAAGCAAAATAAAAAATCAATAACCCATTTATTTTAACAATTTAAGTTTTTGAATTTGAATTTTTTTATAATAAAAAATTTTCATAAATAATTATATTTAATTTTTTTATTATAATAAATTATAGTCTTTGCCATTTCATTATAATAATATTGTCACTATTATTTTTTTTTCCCCTCGGTCTTTTATTGCCCACGACTTTGTTTTGCCTTGTCATCGTATAAATATTCTTAATCATCAATTACTTTGACTTTTAATGCGTTTTGATTATGACAATCTTTAGTCGTGTCTATAAATAATCTCAGATTATTTATTATTATACAATCAATTTCTTCATAAGATAAGAAAAAAAGGAAGGAGGAGAGAACGACAAAATAAATCATAGCATGGAGTTTTCTTGCGCCAATGACATTCTAATATTTATGTTGAAAATGAAATTCTCATTTCATCATAATAAAATAGTGAATTTCTTTGGTGTTTTTTTTTTAAATATTGATGTTCTTTATTTATCAGTCTCCTTCAGATATGTATTATTTTTTTAATTTAATTTAACTTTTAACTGGATTTAATAAAGAATAACAGTTCTTATTATAAAAGTTCTTATAAAATAAATACAAAGAATTAAGGATGTGATCGTAATTCAGGAAGCTTGATGATTTTTTTTTTCTAAAAGTCCGTTCGGTTTGTTAATTTGAGTTGAGATATGATGTTGTGTGACAGCTTTTTACTGTTTCTGATAGCTTTTTACTGTAGCAAAAAAGATAGATGTGACTGTTTCTGATAGCTTTTTACTGTAGCAAAACTCGAATCAGCGAAAAGAACGGGACCTTAAGCCTGAAACTTATTTGGTTTATAGATTTGAATTTGTGAAACAAATAATTATTTATGTGTTAATGACTTTTGAAATTATGGGGCATCTTCCACATAAAATTTTGTACCTTTTGTTTGGCAAATAGCAATAAATTTTTCCTAGAAATATTAAAGAAAAAAACCGTAATTCATTGATGGATGCATAATGACACTCTCTATCATAACTAAATTGCACTTAAATTTGAATGTTGGTAAACATAGCAAGATAAAGTTTTTTTTTTTTTTTTCATACTTGACATACAATCTGAAAATATGAAAAATACTGAACTTTTTTTTTTAAGAAACAAACTAAACAATATATTATTGATCTTTATGGTTATGAGAATAAGTTTACTGATTTCAACTAGTGTTTGTTACGTAATTATGTTGTTGGTTAGAAACTTTTAATGACTTCCCACAGTGATAAGAAAACAGAAAATAAAAATTGCAGATTTATCAGTTACAAAGTCAAATTAGGAGGATGAAAATTGGCTGGGCATATCTGATGGGTAGCAAATCTCCGATGTCCAAAAGGGTCAATGCAATTACCTAATACAAGTGTAACCTATGCAAAGCCCTCCCTTTTTTCTTTTTTCTTTTTTTTTCATTTCTTTTGCTGTGATGTTAAACTACTTTGTTTTGTTGTTAGAATTATTACTATTTTTTTTTTCCTTATAGGCACTTGGTTTTGGATCTTTTTTGTTACTCACGACTTCTAAAAAAAAAAAAAAAAATTAGCAGGCTTCGTGGGACTTAACTTTTAATTATTAAATTTTATTAAAATTACGTCAGATTAAAAAAGTACAATGGCCCGTTCACTTTGTTGATTCGAGTTTAGAATTCGAGTTGAGATGTGATTTTATGTGAGAGCTTTTTACTGTAGCAAAAAAGTTAGATGTGATTGTTTGTGAGAGTTGTTTACTGTAGAAAAACTCAAATTCTAAACTCGAATTAGCGAAGTGAACGGGGCCTTTAACGATTAATAATTTATTTTTTATGGTCTCTTAGAAAATTTTAAAAAATAAAAGTCTCATTCATTTTATCAATTCAAATTTTCAATTATAATTTTATTATAGTTAAAAATTCTCATAAAAAGTCACATCTAATTTTTTTATTACATTAAAAAAATTGTTATATAAAATTACATATTAATTTAAATTAAAAATTTAAATCTAGACAAGATAAAAATAAATAAATAAAAAAATAATTCTGAACTAAGCCAATCACCGCAAGAAACGAAGCCCACAGTATACGTGGGAACTAGTAAAGCTCAAGCTTAGCTGGTGATGAGGATTTCATTTCCTCTCTCTCTCTCTTTTCTCTCTCTCTCAGGAGGGATTTCAATTTCAATTTTTTTTCCCCTTATTTCTGTTTAAAGGAAAAAGAAAAAAGAAAGGTTGAATTGGGAGAAGAAAAGGAACAACAAAGGTCTTTGGTGGGGCCCACCTTAAATCTGTGACATAGACGGCAGTTTCGTTCCATTTCTGAGCATCCCCTGCTCCATTTTTTTTCCCTCTTATTTAAATTCCCCAATTTCTCTCTCTCGCTCGCTCTCTCTCCCTCTCTCTCCTCTTGAATCTTGCCTCTTTTTTTATAAAATTAAAAAAAAAAAAAATTGCTCCTTCCTCTTTGTTCAGAAATTTGGATTTTAATAAAAAGTAAAAGATGGGGACTTTGTATTCTAATGGGTGTCAGCAGGGCAGTGTGAATTTCTCAAGCCAAGCGAAGCAAAGTCTTCTCTTTCACACCTTTCAATCTCTCAAAAGCATGTATGGAGGGGGCCGAATCTAGGGTTTGACAGCACCAAGTCCAACGAAGGTCTCTCTCTCCTCTGCTGCTTTTCTTCCCAATTTCCTCTCTCGAAATTCAATCCTTTAAAAAAAAAAAAAAAAAAAAAAACTTTCGTCTTCAGTTTTCTCTCTTTTGTTTACAATCTGTGATCTCTCACCTGGGTTTCCTTTCCTTTCTCCTGATTTTGATCTTAATTATAATTTGGGTGTTTATTTGGTGGGGGAAAAAATGGGTCTTTGTTCTATCTGTTTGGGTTGTTGAAGCTATGATTGTAGCTGATATTTAAAAGTTTTCTTTTCTTTATAATGGTTTGTTAAGGTTTAAGCTTTCTTTTTTTTTTTTTTTAGTTTTGAAAATTAGGGATTTTTCTTTTGTTGGGGGGGCTTAAATATGGAGGAAGTTGAAGAAGCAAACAAAGCAGCCGTTGAGAGCTGCCATAGAGTTCTGAGTAGTTTGTCTCAGCCCCAAGATCAAGTTCAGCGTAGGAATTTAGTGGTGGAAACTGGGGAGGCTGTTTTTAGGTTCAAGAGAGTTGTTTCTCTTCTCAACACTGGTTTAGGTCATGCCAGAGTCAGAAAGCTTAAGAAGCTTCCAATCTCTTTGCCCCAAAGCATCCTCTTAGACAACCCTAATTGTAGTAGAACTGGAACAGACCAAACACCATCCAAAACTCCTCTCTTTCTTCAATCTAGTTGTTTTCCTGAAAACTCACTTCAGGAAATGGGCTCAAATGTCAAAAGCTCCTTGTGTTTGGGAAACCCTTCTTTGGAACTGAGCTCTAGTGGGAAAAACCCAATCCAACTTTCCCAACAACCGAACCCGGCTGCTCACTATCACTTCCTTCATCAGCAGCAGCAGCAGCAACAGAGGTTGTTGCTTCATCAGCAGCAGCAGATGAAGCAGCAAGCCGAAATGTTGTTCCGAAAGAGCAATAGCGGTATAAACCTGAATTTCGATAGCTCTAGTTGCACGCCAACAATGTCATCCACTCGGTCCTTCATTTCCTCCTTGAGTATTGATGGAAGTGTGGCTAATTTGGACGGGAGCGCCTTCCATCTGATCGGAGCGCCTCGCTCGTCAGATCAGAATTCGCAGCACAAGAGGAAGTGTTCTGTGAGGGGAGAGGATGGGAGTGTCAAATGTGGCAGCTCTGGTAGATGCCACTGCTCAAAGAAGAGGTTGAATTTGTTTCCTTGTGTGTTCTAGTTGGATTTGTTTTTCATTTCCTTTTATGAAAGGAGAAGATAGATTTCTTTTTTAATTTGTTTTTCTGTGATGGCAGGAAACATAGGGTGAAAAGATCAATCAAGGTGCCCGCAATTAGTAACAAGCTTGCAGATATCCCTCCTGATGATTATTCATGGAGGAAATACGGCCAGAAGCCAATCAAGGGCTCTCCTCATCCTAGGTATAATTAAGATCCGAATGTGAAAGTTTTTTTTTTTTTTTTTTTTTTTTTTTTTTTGAAGTTTAACATTTGTGTCCATATTTGATACGTTTATGGTATAATCAGGACTCGAAATTTACTCTCATTAATTTACAAATTTCGCGTTTGATGGGAAATTAGAATCTTTCCATATAATATTAGCATAGATAATGTGCATTGAGATCGATTTACTATAGTATTGTTTTTATGACTTGTTTTTTTTTTTCCTCTTTTTGTGGAGACTGGTTTTCCTCTTGTTTCTTTTCATCCTTTCCCTAAATTTCGTCATGGCAATAATTGAAATTTTATGGTTAATACGGTGCTAACAATATCCATGCTTGTGATTTGCAATAGCCCTCACTGGAATGGCAATAAGTACAGGTCCTCAGTATATAGATTCGGTCTTAGTACCTTAGACAATGACATTGATCGGAAAACATTCTGTTTTAAAGTGGTATAAGTTACCATCTGTGCTGAGTTCCAGCGGTCGTAAAATTCTTATTCTATCGTTATTCTCTTTTCAGAGATATGAAGCTGGGTGAAGACGGAATCAACAAGATAGAACTCTGTTTTTAACTAATAAAACTAATTATTTTCTCTTAAACTTGTTCAGGGGATACTACAAATGTAGCAGCATGAGAGGTTGTCCGGCGAGGAAGCATGTTGAGCGGTGCTTGGAAGACCCTTCCATGCTCATTGTGACCTATGAAGGAGAACATAACCACCCAAGGATACAACCTCAGTCTGCAAACACCTAACCTTTATGTAGGAGCACTTCGCAATGACAAAGGCCAACTGCAACAACGGCTCATGAAACTCAATATTCGCGATTGGCTTGAGATGCTCCTGTACATATTTTGCATGGTTTAGAGCATGGGGGGGATACATAAGTGGGGCATTTTGTTTTTTTGTTTTTCCTCTCTTTTTGGTGCCTTTTGAGGCGTTGGCTCTTCAAGGCCTTGTGGTGGATTGAGTGAAGAAGTCTTTTGTAGAATTGGGGGTGGTGTAAAATTAACTGTAAGAACAGAACTCTTCCATCACTTAAGCAAGCAAATTTCATTGGAATGCTTTTCGTTTTGGTAAAATTTTAGTTTTCAACTATGACTACGTTGCCATTAGTTTTCTTTCAGCGTTAGGCTTCAACTCCTTATCAGATTTTGAGTTTATTAGTTCTTTAATGTGGGGTTGAGACTCCTTTGAATTTCTTGGTAGCTTTAGGTGCAAGAGTTCACTCCATTCACAGTAATTTTCGTAGTTTCAATTGACAATTTTGGTTATAGGCTTAGAATATAACAATTGGGTATTAGTATAATTTGGGAAGGTAAGATGTTGAAAGAATATCATTCCTAAGGAAAGGAAAATTGTACTCAACTATCTTTCCAAATTTAGACTTAAGATTTTTTGCTTATCTTTCCAAATTTGGACATATTACCCTCATGTTATTGGTGTTTTTTTTTTTAGTAGATGAGCGATGGGATTTAAGTGTCTTCTTGAGGGGTTTGGACTTTCCTACGAGTGTGAGCTGTAATGTTTTAATGACTATTTATGTCGAAGCATGTTGATTTGGCCTGCAAACATGAATTGGGTCTAGTAGGATTTGGTTTTGTCAACGTGCATTAAATTCTTTTCCTGTTTCTCAAATTCTTGGCGGTGAACAATTCATCATTTATTGCAAATAGTTGGTAAAAAAAAAAAAAAAAAAAAAAAAAAAAAAAAAAAAAAAAAAACTAAAAAGTAAGAGAATGCTGGCGAGTCTAGCCAATAGAAGCCCTTTTGTAGCGAATTAACTTTGTTTCAAGATTTGGTAGTTTCTTTCAACTTTTCTTTGCTAGAGAAAGAAGAGATATTCTACTTGTCAAGGTCACAAAAGAGTCTTCTCAAACAAGGGAAGGCAATAATGAGGGGACCAACAACATATGTAAGCAATAATCCCACAACCTTTTGATATGAAGATTATTCCTCCATTGGAATCCCAGAATTATTCTTTGGGTCCAAGTCATGCCCTAAGTTATAACCGTTACTTAAAAGGCGTTATTATAGCCAAGAACCTGCTTGGTTGTATGAATTCCTTCTTGGGTTGTTGAGAAAAATTGCTTATTTTAAGTAAAAGGGGGGGAAAAAAAATGTTTCTTGGGTACGTTACTAAACATTCCTAGGGTGAAAACGATTGGGTTTCTATCTTTTTCATCAACCTTCATACGAGATTGTTTTTCTCGTGAGACCCAATTAGAGTTAAAGATTTAAGGTAATAAAAAATTTGTTCACGAGTTGGAGATTTTTTAGTAAATTAGAATTTGAAGTCAATTACGTGAAATGGCAGTCATATTAGCCAAGCCACCTAATGGTTGAATGAGGTTTAGAGTCAAAGATTTCAAAGAGAGTAATTATGGTTGCTGCAACAATTTCTAAACCTTTGATTAAAACAAGTAATAGTACTTACTAATGGGTTACTTACTTATATCACAATTAGTCGTAATTAATGAGAACCACCCATCCAAGCAAATGCATATATAGTGAAACAAAGAATATTAAAACTTTTTTCGGGTCCTCACAACTAAGCTTTCTTAATCTTTTCCACTGTAAGAAAATGCTACCCAAGTATATAATAATGATTCGGCTCCTCTTTTTTGACCGACCTTTTCATCTTTTCCCCTTTCTTTCCAATTTAATGGTCAAATTATGTGTTAAAAACGTTACTTTTCAAGTTCTTACATCTTATTACACCGTTACACGATCTTATTCTATTACCACCGTGTTGAGTTAAGGTCCGTTCAGTTCGTTGATTCGAGTTTTTAATTCGAGTTGAGATGTGACTTTATGTGAGTTTTTTACTGTAGTAAAAAAAGTTTGATATGATTATTTGTGAGAGCATTTTACTGTAGTAAAATTTAAATTTTAAACTCAAATCAACGAAATGAACGGGGCCTTAATCTAGTAATTTTTACTAGATTGGAATTGAAATATAACTTTTTTCTTTTAGAATATTTTAAAAATATCATAATTGTAAACTAATCATTATGATGATTGTCGCGTTTTATGCTACGAAGTGCCTAGTAACTAAGCTATTAAAAAACATACTAAATAACTACTATAATTATTTTAGTCTCGTTATTTGTAAATATTTTTAATTTTTTACAATATTTCAATATGACTAGTAGAGGTTAGAAAGTGGATGCAGTTGTCTTTTCTTTATGGATCGCAACCCAATTCCCTAATTGGGCCAATCCCATCAGGAAATAACTTTGTGAGATGATCTAAGCCCATATGAGACCCAAAAACAAACGTGAGAGTAAAGCCTGCTTGAATAATCCAACCAATAGAATCAGGCCTGACGATCACAAAACAGGAATAGTCAATGATGTCGTTTCGTGCTCAGACTTGTTATATATTTTCTATATCGTATATGATGTCACAAAAAACAGAAAAAAGTACCGTACAATTATACAGTGGACCCCACAACGCAAGCCGGGTGAATGACACGTGAATAAATAGAGTAAAGAGGGGTCAACCCTGTGGAAAACTCGACTAGAGCGAGCAAGAAGAGAGAAGAGAAAATAAAAAAAGATAGAGACGTTTAGTTCCTAAATTAGAATTATGAGATTAAAATTATTTTTTATTTATATGTATTTTTAATAAGAAAAAATATTATAGTGAATTATGAATTATTATTCGAATTAAGGTATGAATTTCTCTATCAAACGCCACATAAATTATTTTATCGATTAGAGTTTATAATTTAATTTAATTATAATAAAAAATATTTAAAAATAATTATATTTAATTTTTTTATTATAATAAAAAATTTTCATATAAAATCACATCTTAATTTAAATTATAAATTATAAATTAATAAATTAAAAGAATTTAAAATAATAATTACTTAAATGGGGAGTTAAATGAGGATTTGGGTTGGTGTCAGAAATATAGGGCGCAAAAAGGCCATCGGGATTCGGTCGGTTAGTGGTGGTCGTAGGAGCTACTTCAACTCGAATACCAGGCTAGGCTAATCATATTATTTGTTATTGGGAACAGTGTCATGTAACCAACGATTAAAACCGAGTTCCTTTATCAGGAAATGAATGACATAGGCTGTTTAATTTATTTGTTAGAATTTTTAATTTAAGTTAAAATGTATGAGAGTTTTTTATTATAATAAAAAAAATTAAATGTAATTGTTTATAAATTTTTTTTAATGTGATAAAATTTAAATTTAAAATTTAAAATAAGTCTCATTAAATAAATAAATGAGTAATGAAATTTTAATCTTTGAATAAATAAGAGTGCTCTTATATATATATATAAATGCTTCTTTAAAAAAAAGCTAAAAATACAACTTATAATAATGTTAACTAACATTTATGCAATGAAAGTGGCATAATAAAACATGTCTTTTAATAAATTAATAAAAAATTATCTCAAATGGTACAAATTTATATTTAGAATGACACAAATATTAAGATTATATAAAACAATAACGAACTATATGTCTTTCTCTCTGTTTTTTTTTAGCACAAAAGGTGTTGGAAATAAGATCTCACTATGGAACATTTTTATGCAATAATAAATTAATGTATTAATATGTAATTGCAAGCATCCACTAGATCATTCTTTTTTAACTTAAAGTTAAGAGTTTGAATTTTCTCATCTTCAGCTTCTTTAACTTGGTTTAGTGAAATTAAAACTTAGTATTTTTTATATAGATTTTCTTTTTATTAAATTTGGTGTGTGTACATAATATATGCTAAATTTATCTAATAAAAGTTTTTCTAAGTAAGCCTTTAATATTGTTGAAGGATAACTTTTAAGTAGATGTTACCAAATGTTACCAATTAGTGGGAAGAACAATACTAAAATTCAAGTTCTCAAAATAAAAAAAATAAAAAAAAACTAAGATGTATGTCTGTACGCGTTTTGTTCTTTTTTTTTTAATTTTTAATTCTTAGTCATGTGAAATAACCACTTAACTATTATTTTTAACAATTTATTAACGGAATGATGGTATTATCACGTGGAGATGATTTGAGGAGCTAATTTAGAAACTTTTTAAAGTTGAGAGACTATTGTGACATAAGTTGCTTACTTTAGGGGATCTAATATTCAATCCTTAAGGTTTAAGAGCTAGGTCCCATGTTACTATTTTAGCTTAGTATTTATATATGAAGAGAAAATTACAGATTTTATCTTATTAAATATTTGACTATTAAAAGTATTATTTTTGAAAAACTCTACTTTTTGAGTTATACTCTAAAAGATAGAAATTATGGGCTAACATTTAAAGAGTAGAAATAAAAGAGGCTCTATTTGAGATGTATTTTTAAAAATTTTCCTAAATGAAGATAATACTAAGAATGAATGTGTTATAACATTTTGGCCCCTCATTTGGAGTAGTTATCAATATTCAATACATACATATATATATATATATATATATATTTATATATTCAGCCGAAGTGCTGTTTATAGAGTGGTACCATTCAGGATTAGACTTTTCTGGTTAGATACATAGGGCATTGGTCTTAGTCAACACAAAGAAACAGAGCCCACCCGAGTTTCACGACATCTTCACTCACCCCTGAACCCTGAGTTGCACGACTTATGAATTATCAGCCTGTGCCTGTGGTGGGCGCCGCATCTGCACAGTTTCAAAGCTAAAAAGCAGCAAAAACGCGGCTCCTTTTTCCATTAACGTGTTGTTAGGTAGAATGGATAGAAAAGAAGAAAGAAGAATAATTAAAATACTTATGTGTAAAAATTAAAATGGTTTTTTGATAGAAAAAAATGAAAAGTAAAATAAATTTGTGTTTGGAAAAGAGATTTGTGTCATGATTTGAATTATAATTCGTGATTCGTTATAATATTTTTTTTCATAAAAAATATACGTAAAATGAGATTAGTTCTTAATCATGATTCTGAATCTAAAAACTAAACGTCTACTAAGTTATTTTATAATAATATTTTAATATAAATAAAAATATGATGAACAGTGAATGTTATAATTGTTATTTTATATCTCATTTATTTGTTAAATTCTTTTTTCTCTTTTTTTTCTTAAAGTTAGAAGGTTTAAAAATTGATGGGCCACATTTTATTTTTCTTATTTTCTCATTTTTTCTCTACCAAACAATCTAAAATTTTATTTTTCTCTCTAAAAATCTTATCTATTTTCTTTACTCTTTTTTTTTTCACCCTATCGAACATAATGTGAAGGAGTTTTTTTTGTAAAATCAATTAAAATAAAATACTAATATTTTTTATTTTTTAATGATTAAATTTCTATTAAAAATTATATATTTTATATATTTTTTAATCTAATATAATCCCCACCACATCTAACTATTCTAAAGTGATATTATAGATAGAGAAGTCTACGAAAAAAGTACCTAAATCCAATCAGGTTTTTTGGTCCTTCAATTGCAGTCGTCACAACTCTCTCTCTCTCTCCGCTTTTGTTTTGTATTAATAATTGCTCTGGTCAGTCCTCTTTTGCGATATGTTCAAGTCACGAGATAAAGTTAAAAACGTTTAATTTATAGATTAAAATTATATGATTAAAATTATTTTTAATTTATGTGTATTTTTTATAAAAAAAATATTATAATAAATTATAAATTATGATTTAAATTTTCTAACTAAACATTCTTTTAGTCGTCTAATTTACTTACCACCAATTTAAGCTGCAAGAGCTTAACTTTTGAATTTCACAAAACATATTTAAGTGCACAAATGTCAATTAGGTGCAAAATCTAATTTTCTTTTAGAGAAGCAAATTCTAAATATTGAGTATTGACCACCTTTCCTTGTAATGATTGTTAATTAGGACTCTACACATTGTTGCTCCGTTGTAATAAACGCGTTTTGACTTAAAAATCCAATCAAGAAAATTCCAAAACCAATTCCCCTGCTAGTGCTAGGTGTTGCAGACATCAACACCACACCTTATCAAAGTTTTTTTATTTTATTTCTTATTTCTTATTTCTATTTTTATTTTTTGGGTCAGGAGCTATTAAGAGGAACCTCACCATAGATGTTGTTGCCCTCTTTTTAAGGTTTCTATTAACCCAAGATTTCATTGATTAGCGAGAGATTCATGTAACGTTTAGGCAGGCTGGCGATCAAGATTTATGCTTTAAGAATACACAACTTGATGGTCAAATTTCACTTTGTACTATATTTGATTAAATTCTTATTAAGTAATCTTATCTTTTACCAAGATGATATCGTTAATGCTACGCCTACCATATTGGGTTCCGATTCTCATTAATCACATTCTCTTTCTACTAGTCCTTACGAATTTAATGCCAAGCAAAATAAAAGCATACGTTACTAAGAAAAAAGTAAATAAAAAGTACTAATAGTTATCAAACAGTTGATATTCCGAGTTAACTCAACTCATAAATTAAGGATATTTTTATCAAACCTAAGATTTTAAACGAGTTATGATCGAGTCAAAAACTCCCGAACTCGGCGTAAGACACGAAGCAACCATAACAATAGACAAACAGGTTGCTAACCCCGCCCTACTAAACATTTGGCCACAAACAAGCTGTACATAAATGGAAATAAAAGTAACCACGCGGGGGCAAAAATGAAATATTGAAACTTCACAGAAAAGGGGGAAAGTGGGCAGCCAACTCCCGTTTACCGAAGCCACCGTCTCCGGCGGCTCAGAAAAGCGGCGCCGGCAGATTGAGATCGAACAAGAAAGGTTTCTTCTCCTTGCTCATCTTCTTCTCGTGCTCACTCACCACCACATCCACATTCTCAAGCTTGTATCCCTTGTACTCGGACCTCACCGGCGCCATCGGCGGCGGTAGCGCCCCGCCGTCGAAGTACACCGGCTGCCTCCAGAACCTCACGCAGTCTCCGAACGCTTCGCCGCCGTTGACGACGAGGGCGTGCGGCGGCGGAATCGGAATCGCGATCGGAATTGGCGGAGCGTGGCCGAAGTTGGTCTTGGCTTTGGGACCGCGGAGGCTCCTGGCGGCCTCGTCGTACGCACGCGCCGCCTCCTCCGCGGTGTCGAAGGTGCCGAGCCACTTGCGCGTCTTCTTCCACGGATCGCGAATCTCGGCGGCGACCACACGCCCCGCCCCCTCCGCGGTGTGGATGGTGCGGAGCCACTTGCGCGTCTTCTTCCACGGATCGCGAATCTCGGCGGCGAACCGGCCCCACGGCCGCTTCCGTACGCCTCTGAAATGAGCCTCCTTCGTTTCGCCTCTCAACTGAGACGGCGACGACTCCTTGGAAATCGCCACCGCCGGCTTCTCAGGTTGAGGCTCACCGCTGGCGGCCATGGAGAGTGGCGATGTCTTGCGCAGACGAAGTGAGTCGACAGCCATGGTGATGGTGAGTCGATTTCCTCTGTACGGCAAAGGGTTAATATTAAATACGCAGAGAAATGGAGGCGGGAGAAAGAGAGACAGAGAGAGACAGAGAGAGAAAGTTAGGGTTTGTGGGGGTATATATAAGGAGGAGACAGTCTGGGTTAATACCGACAGCTTTTGGGGCTAATCTCGAATATTAAATTAAAAGATATTTCAATTTAATAATTGATTGTCTTGTTATTCTTTTGGAATATATTTTTGTGAAAATGATAATAACAATTTTTATTTTATGGGGTGAGGCATTAAAATCAAGCGTGCGAGAATGGGAATGGGAAGATATGGGGGGCGTAAATGCGTAATGATGTTTTTACAAATGGCCATCATTTTATTCTGCCATCCTAAACTGACGGCTTCCCTCTCTCTGTGTAGTCTCTCTCTCCTGAAACACATTAGTCTCATTTATTTTATTAATTTAAATTTTTAATTTTTAATTTTTACAGTAAAATTTTTTTAAAAAATATTACATTTAATTTTTTTATTACAATAAAATATTTTTAAAAAAATATTATATTTTAATTTAAATTAAAAATTTAAATTTGTGAAGTGAATGAGGTCATTACACACACACACTTAAATTTTTCTTTTTTTTTCTTCTTCTTCCTTTTCTTTTTTCTTTTTTTTAAGAAATACAATTTTTTTAAGCTACTCATTTTCATTTGAAATAGTGTTAATATGTTACTTCATAAAAAAAAGTTTTAATATGTAATTATCCATTTATCTTGAACGGGCAAAACATTTACGTACGTTAGAGTATCAAAAAGGACGAATAAACCTTTGTCATTGAAAGTGTCAAATTTATATATTTGGAATTATCATATTCGTGCATTCATATTTCTTTCTTTGTTTTTATTCATGATTTATAATTATTGAATATTAACAATTAAATTTATACCCAGAAAAGTGAATTTAAAAGAAGAGATATCTTCTTGCTGGTTTTTTTTTTTTTTTAAATAAATTCTATGACAAGGTAAGAAAAAGACACACTACTTATAGATAGCCTACAATAGAAGATTTTTTTTTTTTTTTTCCCTAGGAGGTTGTGGGGGAAATTATTTCTGCTTATTTTCTTTTTTTTGGGGGGGGAGGAATTTCATTTTTCCTTATTAACGGTCAACCCAAGAAAAGAAAATGAGGTCCTTGAAAGAGAACATAAACATGCACATATAAAGAGATAAAAGTAGGGAGCTATTATCTTGACAACATAAGGTATGTTATAAAAGGGCTATAGCATTAAAAATATTGTCTCCCGTGGTGGGAAATTTGCGTTAGTTAAGATCTTTTAGGTCCATTTAATTCGCACGTAGAAATTTTATTAAAAAAAATTTTAAATTCAAATTTTTCATGAGATGAAAAACACTAGTAAAATTAGAATCATATGTTCAAGCATAGAAAATAAACGGGATCTTATAATATATACCATATGTCAGAATAGTCTCTCAATTTTAAAAGTGTTAGAATTACTCTTTTAAATAGTTAAAATAATTCTCCGACCGTCTCGACATCGCTACTAAAAAAAAGTGATTTGTGTGCACTTGAACTTAGCATATTATCCCTTTCAAAAAAAAAAAAAAAAAAAACTTAAGCATATTATGAAGCTTCCTAGTGCGTTAGAATATTTCCAATGTTATGGCCATTTTCAAAGACATTACATAGATAATTTCTTGGGAAAAATGTTAAGTTAATGAATTGGCACAAGTACAAACTAGTAAACATGACGACAATTAAAAACTATCATTATAAGGTCTTACATCAATTTAAAAAGCGTAAATAAATTTAAGATGTTGTGTGTCAAAGCGTATCGTGCTATTAAAGTTAAATAATGATACATTTATCGACAATTTCAACAAATAATACTCTATTAAAAGGATTTTTTTTCCTCTAATTTTTCTACAAATGACTTGTTTAGTGCGTTAATTAACGGCCAACATAAGTACACACAAATTTTTGGTAAGAATTTACGATCAATACCTAGAGTAATCACCTAGTCCTATCTTACAATAATCAATTTCCAATCCTTCCATCATCCAATCCGTTGACTCCACCAGTTACACTTGGAGTTATCACCTACCTCTATCTTACAATAAATTTACTACATATTCTCACTCTAAATATGTAGTTTATTGCTTATAATTCATTTTCTGACGTTATAAAATCCTCTGAGAATTCTAATATAACGTTTAGCATTATTTTTAGAGGCTTTTTTAAAAATTTTTTTTTAGGAAACTACAGTAAATCAAGGTGTTTGACAAAATTTATTTTTATCTAGTAGTTTTTAAAAATTGCTGCCCCACGGTAAAATTTAATAAGAATATCAGGAGTTGCTTTACCACATCAGAAGCTGTAATTGTCCAAATTTACTAAAATGACCCTAATAATAAAACTACTTAATTCTCAATCAATTCATTTTATTTCTTCCAAATCAAATTAAATAGTATATTTTATTTTAAATGTTTATTTAAAAATTAAAAATATATTATGCTAAATTTTAATAGTATATTTTTATTATAATGTTACAAGTTTGAAAAATAATTTACTTTCAGTTCTTTACGCTGTTTAATTTCTTTACAGATATATAATTTATCTCATTGAATAAAATTAATTTATTTTTTAGAGATATCTTAATTAATAAAATGAAAATCAAATTTTTTAGTATTGTGGTGTATAAATATTATGAATATTGACTATAAAAATCTAGATAAAACTAATTATAAGTATATGTGTTAAAGTATGTCTATTTTAGTCATTATACATCTTTACAGTAATTTTGTACATAGTTTAAGTTTACCAAGCACTTAAATTTCTACTTTTGGTATTCACAACAACTTTGAAAAAAATTTACAAAATACCTATATGTTTATTATAGTCACAACAACTTCTAACTAGCAGCACATCAACAACATTAATTTTTAACAGCACAACAATGCCAAACTGGCCTATAATGTATTAAAAAATATCTTATCAGAAAGGACATTTTTAAATTATCAAATATGCATAAGATTTTATCAATTTTGAATATTTTATCTTTATATATGATTTTAATGATTTTAATTAAATCTAAAGTTAAAAAAGTATATTGTTGGTAAGACCCCTGTGGTAGAAAGACCCACAATTAAAAAGGAAATTTACTTTACTGCTTTACCAATAAAAACGGGATAAGTTTACTAAAAGTGTGTTTGTTTTGAAAAGAGATGGAGGAATTAAAGTGGCAGACAGAGAGAGAATAAGGGAATGTTTGGTTGGAGGATTCAAACCATGATTTGAATAATAGTTAATGGTTTGCTACAATATTTTTTCTCACAAAAAATACACGTAAATTGAAAATGATTCTAATCACATGATTCTAATCCATGAACCAAATGTCTCCTAAATCTACCATTTAGTTGGGAGATGAGAGATGGGAAAAATCCACAAAATCTAAGCTAAGGAGATTATTTTACCTCCTAAATAAATTAGTAATAGTAGTAAAATTAACAATATAATAATTAGATAAATAATTATCATATGTTCTTTTAATTTTTTTTCTTTTCTATCAAATAACATAAAGGGTTAATCTCACAAATAGTACTTAAATTTTACTCTCAATCTCACTTTAATATGACTTTTATAACGTCTCACAGTTGGTTATGAGATTTTGCTTGTTTAAGTTTCGATCATTTCGTTAGCTAGGTGTTAAATGTTTGATAAAACTTGTAAAAATTAAGTACCAAAATTAGAAACATATCCAAAAAATAAAAGTTAATTTCCATAATAGTCTTTAAATTTGAACAGTTTTTAATTTTAGTCCACAATTTACATTAATTCCATAACAAATTTAACACTCAATTAAAAGACCAAAACTAAAACAAAATAAAATTTCAAGAACAAACTATGAGACATTTTAAAAATTAAAAACCAAAACAGGATTAAGGTAAACTTTAGGGTTAATTTTACAAATGTTTAGTCTCAATCACACTTTAGTCCATAACTTTTCAAATAACGCACAGTTAGTCTCTGAGATTTTATTTTGTTTCAGTTTCAGTTTCATTTTTTCTATTAGTTTGGTGTTAAATATTTGACAAAATCTATAAAAATTATGAACTAAAATTAAAAACATACAAAGTTTATAGACTAAAACAATACAAAAAACTAAAAGTTAATTTCTACGGATAGATCTAAAATTTTAACTGTTTCTACTTTTTAAATTTTAATTTACACATATTCTATTAAATTTTAATGTCTTGTTGATGAAAAGATCAAAATTAAAATAAAATAAAATTTTAAAAATTATCTGTGTGACATCTAAAAAATAAAAAATAAAAATAAAATCGAGTGTAAATCTGAAAGACCTTGTAAAATTAAACATATACTTTAAGGTCTTTTTTGTAAAATTAACCGTTTTATTATATCTTTGTTCCGTCGTCGTATTTGTCATTACTTCAATTCTCTCTGTTCATTCTATCAAACGGTGCATAATCGTTTTATAGTCATCCCACAAGAGCATGGCTCGGTCGGACCACGAGTGGAGAAACAGCATGTGGCGGAGACACGGCATACGCCGCACGCGGCAAAAAAAATGAATGAAACGGCGGCGCAGAGCGAGGGTCGAAGACCGAGGGAGGGGGGGGTTAGACGATGGGGGATTTGATTTTGATTAAAAAAAAGAAAAAAAAAACGAGAAAAGTGATTCGCGAGTGCCAATGATGTTGCTAATGTCAGCATTTGGGGAACAGAAGATGCGATGCGGGACTACGCTACGAGGAGACCACCACGTGGAGTCCCAGCGCCGACTGCTTTAGGTGGGGCCTCATCTGTTACTTCTGTGGACCCCAGCTTTTCATTGTTTACCTTTGAAACTACACTGGGGTTTAATAGATTATCATTACCTAACCTTTAAAAAGCTCACCATTCTATCTATCTATTTTCTACTTCAATTCAAAGTGGCCAACCGTGTAGACCATACTGTATCCCCTCCACGCGGCGCGGCACGAACATGTTTATTTTTTTATAGTAATTTTTTTTTTTTTATAAAAAATATACGTAAAATAAGAATAGTTCTGACTCATAATTTTAAATATATGAATTAAACATCATCTTATTTGTTAGGCTTTTCCACTTCACTAATTTAACTTTTTAATTTAAATTGAGATGTGATATTTTTTAAAATTTTTTAATTATAATAA